CAACGAAGCGACGTGGTATCAATCGACGAAGAAATTGCACAAAAGAGGAAAGTTCAAATCTCAATATATTTTGAATTCGAGATATTGATACCAACTATGTTTTAGATCAACGAAGCGACGTGTTATCAATCGACGGAAAAATTGCACAAAAGAGGAAACCAGACCAGTAACCAACAACCAGTGATAGGTTTTCCATTACTTCTCACGAGTTTCATACAATTCATTTCGAATATTTCTTCCAAATTTATTATTTGTTATGGAAGGCGATATATCATAGATCATCTTTTGATAGTCACCTTTAAGTCTCGATGGTGACACGACAGGTACCCTCACGAGGGGAGAGTATCAACCCTTGGCATCGGTAAACCCTCGTTGCAACCGGGGTAGGCGCCTGATGGGTTAGGTATATACAGTGTTTCTCATTTAGGAGAAAATTGTTGGCTGTCTGTTCCGCTCATTTTTTGAGCAATACAAGAATATGTCGCGTTTCAACATCGGAATTTGAAAAAGTTTCCATCAATATTTCAGTTTCTCATTCCATGTAGTTTTCATGATTTTAAATCTTTATATATTTTGAATTCGAGATATTAATACCAACTATGTTTTAGATCAACGAAGCGAAGTGTTATCAATCGACGGTTAAATTGCCCAAGAAAGGTCCAAATCTCAATATATTATGCATTCGAGATATCGATACCAACTATGTTTCGCATCAACGAAGTGATGAGATATTAATCGACGAATAGATTGCACAAAAGAGGAAACTAGACCAGAAACCAACGACCGGTGATGAGTTTCTCATTGCTATTTACGAATTTCAATCAATTCATTTCATTTCGAATATTTCTTTCAAATTCAATATTCAGGGGTAGGTTCCTGATGGATTAGGTATATACAGTGTTTGTCATTTAGGAAAAAATTGTTGGCTATCTGTTCTGTTAATTTTTTGAGTATTAGAAGAATATATCGCGATTCAGCAACGGAATTTGAAAAAGTTTTCTTTAATATTTCAGTTCTTTATACCATGTAGCTTTCATGATATCAAACCTCAATATATTTTGAATTCGAGATATCATTACCAACTATGTTTCAGATCAACGAAGCGACGTGTTATTAATCGACGAAGAAATTGCACAAAAGAGGAAAGTTCAAATCTCGATATATTTTGAATTCGAGATATTGATACCAACTATGTTTTAGATCAACGAAGCGAGGTGTTATCAATCGACGGAAAAATTGCACGAAAGAGGAAACCAGACCAGTAACCAACAACCGGTGATAAGTTTTCCATTACTTTTCACGAGTTTCATACAATTCATTTCGAATATTTCTTCCAAATTTATTATTTGTTATGGAAGGCGATATATCATAGATCATCTTTTGATAGTCACCTTTAAGTCTCGATGGTGACACGACAGGTACCCTTACGAGGGGAGAGTATCAACCCTTGGCATCGGTAAACCCTCGTTGCAACCGGGGTAGGCGCCTGATGGGTTAGGTATATACAGTGTTTCTCATTTAGGAGAAAATTGTTGGCTGTCTGTTCTGCTCATTTCTTGAGCAATACAAGAATATGTCGCGTTTCAGCAACGGAATTTGAAAAAGTTTCCATCAATATTTCAGTTTCTCATTCCATGTAACTTTCATGATTTCAAATCTTAACATATTTTGAATTCGAGATATAAATACCAACTATGTTTCAGATCATCGAAGCGAAGTGTTATTAATTGACGACAAAATTGCACAAAAGAGGAAAGTTAGAATCTCTATATATATTTTGAATACGAGATATTGATACTAACTTCGTTTTAGATCAACTAAGCGACGTGTTATCAAATGACGGGAGAATTGCACAAAAGAGGAAACCAGACCAGAAACCATCGACCGGTTTCGAGTTTCTCATTCCTGTTTACGAATTTCAATCAATTGATTCAATTCCGAATATTTTTTCCAAATTTGATATTTAGGGATAGGTTTTCTGATTTGTTAGGTGAACACAGTGTTTCTCATTTAGGAAAAAATTGTCGGCCATCTGTTCTGTTCATTTTTTGAGTAATAGAAGAATATGTCATGTCCCAATTCAGCAACGGAATTTGAAAGAGTTTTCTTCAATATCTCAGTTTCTTATACCATGTAGCTCTCCTGATATCAAATTTTAATAAATTTTGAATTCGCGATATTGATACCAACTATGTTTTAGATCAACGAAGCGACGTGTTATCAATCGACGGAAAAATTGCACAAAAGAGGAAACTAGACCAGGAACCAACGACCGGTGATAATTTTCTCATTCCTACTTACGAATTTCAATCAATTCATTCCATTTCGAATATTTCTTTCAAATTCAATGTTTAGGGGTAGGTTCCTGATGGGTTAGGAATAAAATTGTTGGCTATCTGTTCCGTTCATTTTTTGAGTAATAGAAGATTATGTCGCGTTTCAGCAACGGAATATGGAAAAGTTTCTTTGAATATTTCAGTTTTTTATTCCATGTTACTTTCATGATATCAAATCTTAATATATTTGGAATTCGAGATATTAATACCAACTATGTTTTAGATCAACTGAGCGGAGTGTTATCAATCGACGCAAAAGTTGCACAAAAGAGGAAAGTTCAAATCTCTATATATATATTTTGAATTTGAGATATTGATACCAACTTTGTTTCAGATCAACGTAGCGACATGTTATCGATCGACGGAAAAATTTCACAAAAGAGGAAACCAGACCAAAAACCAACGACCGGTGATAAGTTTTTCATTCATTGTTTCATTCAATTCATTTCGAATATTTCTTCCAAATTATTATTTTGTTATGGAAGGCGATATATCATAGATCATCTTTTGATAGTCACCTTTAAGTCTCGATGGTGACACGACAGGTACCCTTACGAGGGGAGAGTACCAACCCTTGGCATCGGTAAACCCTCGTTGCAACCGAGGTAGGCGCCTGATGGGTTAGGTATATACAGTGTTTCTCATTTAGGAGAAAATTGTTGGCTGTCTGTTCCGCTCATTTTTTGAGCAATACAAGAATATGTCGCGTTTCAACAACGGAATATGAAAAAGTTTCCATCAATATTTCAGTTTCTTATTCCATGTAACTTTCATGACTTCAAATCTTTATATATTTTGAATTCGAGATATTAATACCAACTATGTTTTAGATCAACTAAGCGAAGTGTTATCAATCGACGGTTAAATTGCCCAAGAAAGGTAAGTCCAAATCTCAATATATTATGCATTCGAGATATCGATACCAACTATGTTTCGAATCAACGAAGTGATGAGATATTAATCGACGAAAAGATTGCACAAAAGAGGAAACTAGACCAGAAACCAACGACCGGTGATGAGTTTCTCATTGCTATTTACGAATTTCAATCAATTCATTTCATTTCGAATATTTCTTCCAAATTCAATATTCAGGGGTAGGTTCCTGATGGATTAGGTATATACAGTGTTTGTCATTTAGGAAAAAATTGTTGGCTATCTGTTCTGTTAATTTTTTGAGTATTAGAAGAATATATCGCGATTCAGCAACGGAATTTGAAAAAGTTTTCTTTAATATTTCAGTTTTTTATACCATGTAGCTTTCATGATATCAAACCTCGATATATTTTGAATTCGAGATATTATTACCAACTATGTTTCAGATCAACGAAGCGACGTGTTATTAATCGACGAAGAAATTGCACAAAAGAGGAAAGTTCAAATCTCGATATATTTTGAATTCGAGATATTGATACCAACTATGTTTTAGATCAACGAAGCGAGGTGTTATCAATCGACGGAAAAATTGCACAAAAGAGGAAACCAGACCAGTAACCAACAACCGGTGATAAGTTTTCCATTACTTTTCACGAGTTTTATACTATTCATTTCGAATATTTCTTCCAAATTTATTATTTGTTATGGAAGGCGATATATCATAGATCATCTTTTGTACCCTTACGAGGGGAGAGTATCAACCCTTGGCATCGGTAAACCCTCGTTGCAACCGGGGTAGGCGCCTGATGGGTTAGGTATATACAGTGTTTCTCATTTAGGAGAAAATTGTTGGCTATCTGTTCCGCTCATTCTTTGAGCAATACGCGTTTCAGCAACGGAATTTGAAAAAGTTTTCAACAATATTATTCCAGTTTCTTATTCCATGTAACTCATGATTTCAAATCTTAATATATTTTGAATTCGAGATATTGATACCAACTATGTTTTAGATCAAAGAAGCTACGCGTTATTAGTCGACGGAAAAATCACACAGAAGAGGAAAGTTCAAATCTCAATATATTGTGAATTCGAGATATTGATACCAACTTTGTTTTAGATCAACGAAGCGACGTGTTATTAATCGACGAAAAGATTGCACAAAAGAGGAAACTAGACCAGAAACCAACCACCGGTGATAAGTTTCTCATTCCAATTCACGAATTTCATTCAATCAACTCATTTCATGTCGAATATTTCTTTCAAATTCAATATTTAGGGGTAGGTTTCCGATGGGTTAGGTATATACAGTGTTTCTCATTCAGGAAAAAATTGTTGGCTTTCCTCGGTACTTTGTATGTCATCAATTTCATTTTTGTGTCTGATACAATGACATCATTGACTTATTATTTCAAGAAAATCGCATCGCTCATGGAATGCCAATTTCCAAGCAATTGCAGCTCTGTCTAATAGATGTGCATTACTTGAGAGGAAATCAGATGGCTACAAGAGGAAGAAATCAAAATTGCCGCTTTTATCTGTTACAATCTGTTACTATATCATTTCTTGTTCAACAATATTCTATTACGAATCCTGTTTCGTCGTAAATGATGATGATTTAAGAGAATATACCGTATTGTTTTTCCGCATCATGTCAGACAATATAAGCAAATCATTTAAACAATGAAAGCTTCATTGAATGTATATTGGCTGCCTAAGATTGATATATTTCGGATGCATCTCAACGTTATGAATCAACGTTCCCCAATTAGTTCCGTAAGTCGTAAGACGATGAATTAAAGTTGGCATTCATCTTCCTGAATATGACACCGCCAATTTTGTCATATCAATTTGTATTATTATTTTTGTCCGGGCTATCAATAAGTATCATTTTTGGAATTACCATTGCACGAGGATCAATCTGTTATGGATTAGGAACATTTGGCACTGCTACAGTTGTTATGTGCGGCAGCAATTGGAGCTTTCTCAAATCGGAAATGTTTGTCAAGTTATGGTCCCTACATTTTGTGATTCTGTAATTGAATGGTTCTCACGTTTTGCGACTCTGTTAATGTACGGTTCTGACATTTTACTATTCTGTCGATAAAAGCTTCGATATTTTCCGATTTTGACGAAATCATTGATCTAGACTCGAAACAAATCAATTCTTTTTTAATTTCAAATTATTTGTTCGACGGCAACAAACTTTTCTAACGATTAAATACAATAGAGTCATAACGACAAGACACATCATCATTAACATGGCCATAACATCTACCAGGAAATATTTGTACCATGGCATATCCACTGCAGCAACTCTCAGGTGGGGAGCACCTCTGAATCTTGCTACAAATTCGGTCCAGTAGACTGCAAGGTCCATAGGCTTCATAGGTCTATCATGTAGAAACACAGATCTCCTCCTAGCATTCTCGAGATATCTATTGATAAAATCAAAGAACACAGGGGGTTATTCAAGTATGTCACCAAACTTCAGGTAGCGATAATTGGGTGATTCTATAACGAAAACTCCATGTATACATAGGCCCTGATATTTCTCGATTTCAAGATATAGGGTGTTGAAGTTGGAAGTATTGATTGATGTTTTTTCCATGATCACCCTGTATAAGCTTTCGTGATGGCAGAATGAAGTCTGGTTGGTTACTGGAAAAGTCTCAAAATTTCTGAATAATACTCATTGGGATTATTGGGCAATCCCAATGGGTGTTTAGAGGGAACCTACATCAAAATTTGGCACCAACAAAATTCATTTCCTCAGAAACTGAATACTTTACAAAAATTTCATTAGGGACAAGAAACCTCTATTTTCGATTGTTTAATCTGATCAAAATATCGAACTTGGAAAAAACTATGCCGTAGGTACCTCATTCACCATCATAAATATCGAAAAAACAACCCACTGCGAGGCCACTGGCATCATTATTTTGAATCTAATTACACCAAAACAAGCTTCTTGATATTGGCAACACAACCACCAAGTTCAATTGGAATTGGGAATCAGAATTTTGAGTAATTCATAAAAGAACGATTTTTTGTTGGAACTCTGACTCCCTGTAACATGGAGTTTTCGTCTTACAATCACCCACATAATCACCCATTGGAGTTTTGCTACATACGTAACACCCTATATGTATACATTAGTTCTCAACACTCTTGATACTGATATAGGTATCAGATAGATATAATATGAATGATGTGGTGATTTCTCTGAATCAAATACATTTCTAAAGATATATTAACACCATGTCGAAATGAGAGGTTCCAGAAGCAGCTATAAATCACTCATATTCTAGTATATTGGTGAAGAAATACTGTGTTCGTTATATAGGAGCAATCACTCACTTTGGATTCTTCAGGGCTTCATTCAATGCTGAGCTGAACAAATCTTTAGTCAAATCTTGGAAGTGAAGGAAAACTCCAAATCCAGCATCCACTGCCTTAGCTGCATTGAGCCTCTGATCTCCAAAAACTGGTAATGCCAAAATTGGTACCCCATGGTAGATGGTTTCCGTTGTACTGAGTAATCCTCCATGTGTTATGAATAATTTAACGTTTGGATGTGCTGTTCATAAAATAAAATTGATATTCAAGAGGACGAAAATAATAAGCTCAAACATATTCTAAGAATGTAGGGAATTGAAATATGTGCCCAAAATAGATGATTCATTGGATGATTTGGTAGTGAGAGATTCTCCAAATAGAAACATCTCTGAGAATATATTTCTCAACACGAGGAGTTAACTCTTTCAGGTACAGGAATTTCGAAATATAACACTCCCTAGATGTACAGCTTTATTTTTCTTCAGATTTTCAAGAGATTCATTAACAAACTAACTCCAAATGTCTCAAAAGATACGAAGAAATATAAAATAATCTCAGAATTTTTCAATTTTCACAAAAAAACGGTGGGTCAAAATCTAACCCACCATTCCATAAGGTGAAAGATTTCATGAGAATCGACTCATTTCAAATTACTGTGAAACGTCTGCAAACATGTTTTGTTCTTTGCAAGACAGAGTGGAACACGGTGAAACACACAACCAGTTTGTTCCAACTCCAAACTTTCCTGAATTGCAGAGCAATCTCCTTCGCCTTGTTCGGATAGGTTGATGAGCACCCTGTGTGACTCTCATTACCGGGCTTTGACTGAGTGTTTTTCTCTATTTGACTCGTCCATTCGATTGATACTCTCGATGAAGATACTGATATTTATTGACGACAAAATGATCAAATCTTTCATTGATAACTTTGAAAGATATAGAATATTCTGTGAAGAATAATTAATGAGTTGACTACAGCAGCATACAAAGAAATGATTTCATGAATATCGGTTCCTTTATATGTCTTTCCAGTCGTCTGATAATTCTGCTCGGTATATAGATTGATCTGGAAAACTATGTGATTCAATAATTTGTCCGTGATGAACTGACGAGAGAGATTATCCATCTTGAGCCACTCTAGAGGTTCTATTGAAATCTTTTGGCTGAACGATCCCATCCACTCCTCACCATTTTTTTCTCTATCCCTGGTTTCAACTCCGCGATAGGGGTATCCATATATAAGTACTGGTGTCTCGATATTCATATCAGACAGTATAATGTTGTTAAAATTGAATTCGACATAATTTTCCTCATCATTATCCTTGAAAAATGTCTTGGTCGTGTTGTATGGTGGGACAAATTGCGAACAGCGTAGATTTTCACATTTTGTGTACGAAAAATGAACATATGAGTTGGAATGATATTACAAGTAGGTTACCTATGTTGCCTAGATAGTATTTAATGCAACAAAAAATGTAATAACATGATAAGCATGAAATTTGCAGCCGCAATTCGAGAGGAGAAACACAACGTACGGAACAAGTGTCGAGTTTATTCTATTCACTGATAATGTATTGTTCAATTCGCTTCAGCTTAGAACATATGATTTAAAAGACCAATATGAGTGAGTTATATGGGGCGGGAGAAAAAACAAACCGTCGTATCACAAATCATAAGCCCATTGCAGAGCGGGATATATTGTGTCCCAGCATACCTCTAACTCCAAGAAATTCGTGGTTCAAATTTTGCACCAAAGTACTTGAAAGAGTTAACACATCTATTTGGGAAATACCATTGATATAGACCTAGGATAGTTCCAAGAAAACGAATCTCTTAAGAGCAAACACTACCGCGTCATCACAATCAGTCGAATTTCTTCCTTGCCCCGCGCAGCTCGAGTTTGTAGACATATATCTATCAAGAGCGGTTGTACAGGTGGGGGACTCGTAAACAATTGGCAACGCAGCCTCTGTCCGCAAGATATTCATTATTTCCATTTTAGCTTTTCTTTCTAGTAGCGTCAGTGGAAGCGTAGCTGAGATGGGAGCAGTGGCGTCGTTAGGAGCTTACACAAAATATTGTTTCGGTTGCCTTCTTCAGTGCTGATATGTGCTATAATTACTGAACACACTAAGTAGACAGTCGGGATGTTTTACTGAATTACTTAGCAAAAAAAATAATTGGGGAATTCACGGAAAAAACTCACTTCGCCTTGAAGTATCACTAGAAAGTAGATAATCTGAAAATTCACTAGTAAATGTTCAATAAGTGGGTATTGAACGAAGCTTTGATAATTAAAAAAAAACGGACTTCACAGCTGGTAGCCAGATGAATTTTATTATTACTCTTTCTACCGGGTGGTTACAAGAACCGCGGGCAACCCCTGTAATTTTGATGCCGTTCGAGATAAAAATTTCAGGAACAGCCAGGTTCTCGTGGCCATTACAAAACGATTTTTCTTATTATATTTCATAATTTTGCATGATCCTCAAGTGCTTCCTAGAACATTCTCTGATTTCCAAGCCTCTCGGTACTCTCGGATCTACAAGCTCTGGCTAGAGGCAATTGAAATAAAATATTTTCAATTTGGGAACCATTTCATTTTCCCAGAAGTTATCATCTCTCTAAAAACATATATTTATGATCTAAAATGTATGACGGAGGATATGATCAATAGTTACCTCTTCTACAAGGCAACCTTTTGGACTCCATATAACAAAGAAACATTTTTCCCCTTCGCGTTATTGCTAATTGCCCTTGGACTTGAAAATAGTAATTATGTTTTCTATTCAGTACTAAGGTGTCGTTTTCGAGTTTGCCGAATTTGATCTTTTTTCTCCGATTGGCAGCAAATATTAATTTTGCTGACACATATCGATCAGCAAAGTATTACTTTTCCTGCCTAGGCAGCAAAGTGGGTACTTTGCTGCCTAGGCAGCAAAGTGGTTACTTTGCTGATTGATATGTATCAGCAAAATTAAAAATCCATAAATCGTTTATAATTTCCTTCATATTCCATCCGAGACTTCTCTGCCAACAAATTCAACTCTATATTTTTTGCCACCTCCCTTATTAATGGAGGTGTAAGTATACTTCCAGGTCGCTATCACTGTCCATTATATAATAATTTGAATATACCGATATTTTCTCGCACAACTGTCAGAAATTTCATGAATTGTCAAACCAACAACTGCTATTTCCATCAAATTTTATTTTAATTGAACACTATACAGGAAGAATAAAGAGATTGTGGGAATTGTATTAATTCGCAAATACAATATTCTCCCATATCATTATGAACAATCGGAGAAAAAATTATATGTTCAACTCGGCAGCAAAGTAGATTGACTGCCTTAGCTGAATTCCTAGCCTCGCTACGCTCGGCTATGAATTCAGCCACGGCAGTCAATCAACTACTTTGCTGCCTAGTTAAACAAATAACTATTTCATCCCAATTTCCTCTTCTGGGCATATGTCCTTGATGTTGAAGGGACACTTCATCTCCACAATGGCATTTTCATCCACCAACCCATCAGGACTGGCACCCAAAAAATATTTTTTATCAATGAAAAATCCACTTTTCCTAACTTTAATATTGTTTTTGACTTCGATGGCAAAAGGTTCGTTCAATTTTTCATATTCGGTCGCTTTGCTGCCTTTGAATTTCGAATATAATAATCCTTTTATTGTATTAATGCTGCGGGTGTTCGATTTCATTTCTCTTTTCTGGTAGTTCTTTATCTTTCACTTCTTCGACCCATTTTTCTTTCCACAATTCTCACTTGATTCACTGTCAAAACACGAATGAGCAAGGAGCAAGCACCCAATACTTTATTTACCTACCCTACCCATCGAGGGATTAGGATTTCCAATGAATAATTATTGTTTTCAGGTACGCCTATGAAAACTATTGCATATAACCTAATCTACTAAATGCGACGGTCCGGACGGATTACCAAAATTGGTTACCAGAAAAAGACAGCAACACCTAGTCTTGTCGATTATTAACAATATTCATTTCGCCCTAGGTAGGAAGCTTTTCCAACGTTGCCAATTGGGTCGAGGTTCGTTCGAGAGTTATAAAACGACATAGGGGGCAGCGCCAATCAGATACAAATTTCATGATCGTAGAATCGATTTTTCGTGAAAACTATAGCTTTTTTGTGGAAAATGTTTATTTTGATGGATTCAGAGGCCTCATCAAAGTTCCGGATCTTCAATATTTTTTTCATTTATCAATTTTTTTTTTTTGAAAATTATCACATTAAAAAATCAAGGAAGTTCCGGAATTTCGAAAAATGAAATGCATCAGTTGCACTAAGAATTTTTTTTTTGAAAAAAAAACTGAACGCGTAAAACCGATTCCCGTTTTATGAAGGTAGTGTTTGCTCTTAATTACTCTTCCACACATCATCAAAAATGGTAATTTATATTCAAATTAGTACCTTTGACATGTTTCACTAGCTCATGACGATATGAAAAATATAAGGAGTGGTTAGACCTGAGCTGATCATTCGATATATTCAGAAAATATCGAAAATCGATTGAAATTATTAGAAATTGGCAATCACATTTTCTGACGTTGTAACACGATCGCTGCCTGGTGTATCATTAATGATACACCAGGTAGTGCTTTCCACAGGCCGGGGGTATCTTAAATGATACACGGACTATCATTCTGTCTGAACAGCGGTGTATTCTCTGTTATACACGGGCAATAAGAAATGCATTAGCTCATGATCTCTGCGGCCTGGCAGCATAAAGAGCAACTGAAAGTTTTTGGCTGGGGTTTCTTAGTGGGGACTTTTGTGTGGGTATAATAGAGAATGTTTGCAAAAGGTACCTCATTGGTGAAAATTACTTTGGCCTGTGAGGTCATTTTCTGAAATTTCAGCTTGGCAGAGCTTCAAGATAATCTTGAGCCTTTAGTTATCACAGTGACATAAAAAATATAGCTCATCATCCACTTACCTAGAACATCCATCTGCGGAAACCATTTCCTGATCACAATGTTATCAGTTTTACCCAGTAAATCGTCCTCATCCCATTTCCAGAGTACTGTTTCTTTCAACCCACCCAGAACATCTATCAACGCCTGTTTCGTTTCAGATTTCATTTGCGAAGGAATTATGTTTGATCCCATACTGAAGAAAATGACTCCATCTTTAGCACCATCTAAGATCTTCTGGAGATCCACTGGCAGCTTCTTGGGAGGCTGGACATGATATCCACCAATGTTGATCATATTAGGGACGAGTGGAACAGATTGTGCAAAGCTCTCGTGTGAATTCACAAAGAACAGCGATACGTTGTAAGATAGAGTTTCAACACTTGGACACCCTGGAAAATGCCGCTTCACCATTTCATCTTGAGCAGGGTATACAATGAAGTATCGAGTGAGATCATGGGAGAGCTTGACTAATGAGTTTTTAGTTCTTTGCCATAGCGTCATGGAACTTCCGTATTCCACAAATGTATCGGGGATGTAGGATGGTGGAGATGGATTTCCAGATATGGAGTTCAACCAAGCGGTTGCTCCCATGGTGCTGAACATGATCAATGGAGCGTCAAAGTGCCATGCAAGAGCCTTTAATTCATCATTGATGAATTGCTCGATGATGACGACATCAAATTTTTCATTGGAATGTAGGAGTCTTTGAAGTGCTGGATCTTCCAACGTTCTATTAGTGGCATCGTTTCCGATATAGCTCATGAACAGCGTTTCTAGGAATACACCGGATTTCGCTATATCGAATATATTGAAATTGTTATCATCTGAAGAAAAATGGAAAAAGAATATCGATTAGAAACATAAGTAAGAAAACAGTGGTTGAAGATCCATGTCCATGTTCATTCAGAAAAGTGAAATAAATGAATTAATGAACAAAGAAGTTGCCCCTATTCCATGTTAATAGAAAATTACCAGGTTATAGTGATTTTTTTTTCCTAAATCTGAAACACGTGAACCAATGACCGGAATCTCACGATTCTCAAGATATGAGGTATCGAAGTTTAGTTTGATAAATCGGTTTTCTGTAAATATCATGAAAAACTGGTATCCGATCTTGTTCAAATTTGGAAAAAAATACTGTTCAAAGTAGTACTGGGGGCTAATCAAGTCATGATCAGATTCATTGAAAATCAAGTTTTCAGAAATAATTGGGAATTATGCCTTTGCGAATTAATGTTTAGGTGAACTCTTCATCTTTGAAGTACTGAAAAAAATCACCACTTGAAGTTTAGCATAAGTAAACTTTAAGGTGTTTCCTTTCTGCTAATGGAATTGGGAAAAATATTTCAATCATGCATAAAAGCAATGAAATCAATGCATATCAAAAAAGCAAATAAATTCTATTATTAAATTGAAATAACAGAGATCACTTACTGGTATCACCTGGAATCCACCAAGCAGAACATATGTCAATCATTGGGTAGTTAAATACAATCACATTATCTCAGGAGAATTATATTAGGAAGATCGGTTTTTTGTTACTATTTTTTTCGAGAAAGAAACACACTCCATATACGAGATGTGAATATAACATTTATATAACGCAAACCTATATTTGCTACATCTTTCGATCCTTATACGGTCACTTTCCATTCATCTCTTGGGGCGCATTGAAGGAAATTCGTAGGATGTTCGCAGAACACCGTATACGCTCTATAGACGAACGAGTTTTGGTAGAATGGTGTTCGACATATTTCAAGGTTGACGACGAAGAGATTTGCTATCTGGGCCTGTCGATTTTGTCTGACTGGTATTGCTAGTGATGGAATTTTAGAAGAGATTTCTGAGGAACATATTCCATGGAAGTATATTCAGAAAAGTGAAAGGTCGCCGACTTTTCTATGGTGTTCTAAAATGAGGTCAAAGAGTTAGTGACCTATGGCTCAGGAAGAAGAAAAGTGGAAGGCATAGACAACAAAGTAACAACTAGAAAATGTTCGTTAAAAGTGATTCTAACTAGAAGTCTGAATTTAATTTTTGAGAAGTACGAAAATTTCATGCTGAAGGTTGGTTTGCTACAATCCTTTCGGTACAGAACACTATGATCAATCTTTTCATCGCAATATTTGTACCATTATGACAAACTTACTTCAAGTTAGGTGGGTGCTAATTGCCTCTAGTTAGTTGAGCAATAATTATTTGTTGATATTTGTTTCCATAGGTATTGAATGATTTGGTTTGAGTTGAGGCAATTTCTAAGAGTATTTATCTAGAATCAAGACTCTGTAAAATCAGATTCCTCATGTTTGGAATCAATGCTAGCCAATTCGACGATATACTGGATCTCCTCTAAATCTCTGTTGACTTTGAAGAAACCGACTCAGCAATTGGTCGCTTACTTTTGAGTTCCCTGATGAGTGAAAGAACGACACTCCTGAGTGATCCATTTCCAGGCACCTTTTTGTCCTCGAAAGGGCTGACCAAGGTCACATCATGTCCTGCTTCTGCCAGTCCATCGGCCAGAGTACTACCGAGTCGAAAATGACTGAAGGCAGGCATTGGGAATACCACTAAGATCTTGTAACCGTACACGGCACATATTAGTTCGATGAAAGCAATCAGATATACAAATCTCATTTTATATGTTTGTCTACTCTTGATAACGAATTATTGATTTACTGATACCTACTGTTGCAGCAGCGCTTAGATTCTCATAATATAGACATGTTATCTATTAATTCACATCGTTGCCATCCCAGCAACTCAAAATGTACTAAAACAATCTAATAGTTAGGATTTTCATTCGAACTTCCTACTATTGAGTAAGGATAGGGGGAGGGGTAGGAAGGAGGGGCTTGGGAAATAGACAAGTGAAAAGATAATGAAAACTCATTTGTAGTATTGTGATTATCGCATTTCTCATTTTTCAACACACTTCAAAACAGACGATTGAGTCAATCGTCATTCTGTCATTCATTTTTATCCATAATCATAACTTTGAGCAACGTGAAAAAAATTTACTAATGACCATAATACACAATAGTGACATGTAATGTGAACTGCATTGTGAAGGCATGCATCATAAGCACAAAACTCACTTGTTTGGATGGAAGACATTAATGACATTTCTACGAAAGCGTAGAACGGACATGAGATATTTTTTTTCTTAATTTCGTGTTAAAACTCGAAATTAGCTTAATTCCGAGTTATAACTCGAAATTAGTGCTAATTTCGTGTTACAACTCGAAATTAGCTTAATTTCGAGTTAAAACTCGAAATTAGTGCTAATTTCGTGTTACAACTCGAAATTAGCTTAATTTCGAGTTATAACTCGAAATTAGCTTAATATGCGATATGCGATATCGCAGGTCACAATTGTTACATCGCTGCGATATCTCTGTGATGTTACTGTATTTGCAGGGATGTTGTTTATCAACTTTTTTGTTATTCAGTCGAACTCATTTATTTCACTCATTTCTGAGTTATACCGGTTAATAGTAAATGTCTCTTTTATGACAAAAACTGAGACTACGGATGATTTTCACAAGAATGCCATGAATATGAGTTACCATAGCAACCATTGTTATCGCAAATGTTGTCAGAGATATTGTCAAATTGAGCTAATTTCGAGTTGTAACACGAAATTAGCACTAATTTCGAGTTATAACTCGGAATTAAGCTAATGTCGAGTTTTAACACGAAATTAGTACTAATTTCGAGTTATAACTCGAAATTAAGCTAATTTCGAGTTGTAACACGAAATTAGCACTAATTTCGAGTTATAACTCGGAATTAAGCTAATTTCGAGTTTTAACACGAAATTAGTGCTAATTTCGAGTTATAACTCGAAATTAAGCTAATTTCGAGTTGTAACACGAAATTAAGCTAATTTCGAGTTGTAACACGAAATTAGCACTAATTTCGAGTTTTAACTCGAAATTAAGCTAATTTCGAGTTGTAACACGAAATTAGCACTAATTTCGAGTTATAACTCGAAATTAAGAAAAAAAAATATCTCATGTCCGTTCTACGCTTTCGTACATTTCACTGATATTGCACATTGATTTTTGATTCTTGGCTCATTTCAGTACGTACGAATTTTGCGATCGGCGAACTAGCGTACTAGACAGAGTGAAAAGGTACTAGATCTAGTACGAAAATACTAGTTCTGGCAACGCTGTCCGTTCAAGTTGAATGACACTACCTTTTACTATGAGCAATGACGGCTATATTATCAGAGTATCATCGTTACCAGTTACCACATCGCTACTACCTGAAGAAGAATATTGAGGCGTTTGAGCAGTGTTATTTCGGGAATTTAACTGCTCGACAGTTGAAATGAAAAATAAATATTTTTAGAATCAAATTTGAAGATGAGTTATTGCCACAACCGTTTTTCATTTTATTTCCAATCCTCATTGCTCTTTGCCTTTCGATTTTTTGTATGATTTGTTGCAGCGTCTCTGTATATATCATGATTCTTAATAAATGTACAGTTGTTATTTGAAAAATCGTAGTTCAAATTCTCGAAATTGTCATGTTTCATGTTGTAATATGATTTTTTTCTCAATATACAAGCTCATTTTAAGTTCTTCAAGTTCTTGGATCATCTAGTTTATGATTTCAGGAATAGATTGAAAAGGAAATTACGGTTTAATCAATATATCGAAAATATATAGAAATATGTGTAGAAATTTGTAATTTTGGGGTTGTGAATTCAAATTATTGGTACAGCTTCTTTTGATATTATGTTACTCAATGAGCTTGCTGTTTTTGGTCACGTGACATCATATTATACGAATGGGGGAGGGAGACAGAGTATATAGTCTCCTGGCAGTTCGTGGAGTCTTTTTCGAATTCCTCTAGTGTTTTCTATATAGCATATTGAAATCTATGAACAATTCCCTATTTTTGACCGTGTCACTTTTAAGCAAGTAGTTCAGTAGATTGAAGTAGTCATAGACATAGACGGGGATCTGCAGCTGAACACTTCCTCTGAATAATTATTGAATCCATAATAATTTGAATTGAAAAACGCAGTAACGTGGTGTATATGCAAGAATGTGATTCATAATCGGACATTATAGGTAACAATCTGGTTTATTGGAATCATTGGAAATGCTGCACTTATTGTTGAGTAGTGATGAACGACAATCTGATCGTGACATCATGAATTCCCTAACGTTGCTATGATCCTATTGATAAACATTGAGCATGTAAAGGGCAACATAGCAAAAGATACTGAGTCGGCTATCATACATTCCGCCAGTCTCCGCCGGAATATCTGAACTCTGAACAAAATAAAAATTGAAATATATCATGTGACCAACTGTCTAACGATGAGCGTTGCTGGGATCCTTCCTCAAAATACATATATGTAACCTGTAGGTATGCTAGATTCACCATGGTTCTGTGTAAAATCCGTTCGAGCACAAGATTGCAAAATACACGCGAAATATGAGAGGTAGGTATAGGTATTTCGTAATGAATAAGTAAATGATAAATACATAACTGTTCAATTTTTCTTTATTTTCACATTGGAAGTTCGGCAACAAACTTTCCTAACAAGCAGATACAGTAACGTCAATGTACCCAAACAAATGGATAGCAGGGTGACCATGACATCGATCGATGCATATTTGTACCATGGCATGTCGACTGCAGCCACCCTTAAATGAGGTGCACCATCATGTCTCACGATGAATTCAGTCCAGTATACAGCGAGATCCAGGGGTTTTATAGGTCTGTCATGCATCAGCCTGGATATTCTTCTGGCATTTTCGCGGTACCTGATAGACAAAAGATTCCTTCAGTAATTCTCTTTTTTGTTCGTCGTGACATTTCACATCGAGTGAAATAGCTATTTTTCTACAAGCGTGCGTGATTCACCCTATACCCGCACGCAATTCAGTTTGGGAAGTGTCATTTTCCCGCAACAGTGCGGGAAAATTTTCCCAAACTAGTGCGGGAAATTTTCTCAGTTTGTTTGTTGCAGTATTAAGTATGTATGTTCAGAATCATCCACCAAATTGCACTATTTATTGTAAAAATTAAGAAATATTGAGAAATAAAAATTGATTATTATAAAAATCCCCCTATGATTGATCTGACGGGAAACGTCAATTTGTCATGCCAATCAAACCTCAAATAAGTTTGAAATTGTCGAAGTGACAGACACAGCGTTACTGTCATTTTCGATTCAGTGGAAATGCCACAATGTGATCAAAAACTTCTAGCTATAGGGATTTGATACAGATGCGTTATCATCAACGAAGTCTTAAGAAAGGTATATGAGAAGCTATACACGCGTTTTATTGAATGATGCAACAATAAAGAAATGAAAAAACCGAATGAAGAATAGGTATTTCCGGCTCATTTCATAGAAGTGTCTGGAACCTAGAGACCAAAATCCTAATGGGTCTGCTGGCTTCCGCAATGAACCAACATAATGCGTCAAACTGTAAGTTCACAATAGCTATATTACTAATAATTAATAGATAGAGAAAATATAACTCTTGTTAGTTGTTCCTATTTGCTTGAATAATTAATTGAACGATTCAATCAATTTCCTACGCTTGTAGAAAAAATATTGTTCCTAACTCATGCGGAAAGTAGTAATTCTCCGCACACGACGGCAGTTGCACGAACGACGCGGAGCGGAGTTAGGGCATGTCGTCAAGGGCGGAAAACACATTTTCCGCAAGAGTTAGGTACAAAGTTGGTGTCATATTGTAACCAACATCACACAATCGTCCACCCATTACATGGCATATTGTAGTCGTCTAACTATTTTCTAGCCGGCACCCTGCCAAAAAGAATATAATTATATTTAAGTTTCAATAGACAAGTTCAGCAATTCATTGCCAACCTTGAGAATAGCTAAGAACGTCTACCACTGAAAACAGATTATTTTCATAAATTATTGATAATATTTCTGTCCTTATCCATTTTTGTATCATCTGCGGCGTCGAAATTTCTGGAAATTATAAAAACTTTGATATCTAGTGATTTTGAGGTTATTTTAGTTATCATATTGGCTGCCTGTAAGTTGAATGACACATGTTTGTTTTGTTCTGTGACTCCTGTGACCGATTTTAGGTTAATTCAAAACATAACTTAGAGAGGAGCATTCAAGAATAAGTTTTCCTACAATTTTCATTTGATGAAGTTTATCTATGAATCAGACATCAAAGACATTCAAGAAGTACCTGGATACCCTGTGAAAACATAACTTAGAGAGGAGCATTCAAGAATAAGTTTTCCTACAATTTTTATCTGATGAAGTTTATCTATGAATCAGACATCAAAGACATTCAAGAAGTACCTGGATACCCGTGTAAATATTACGTTGAGCCTATATTAGAGAAGAAGGGAAGGATTATTATAAAAAAAATGTGAATAATAATCTGTCAGTTTTATACTTGGTTGCTTGGTCGATGAGAAGCAGGATTGATGATATTGAACTTATAGCGGGTGACACAGGGTATCGGGCCACCCCTGTAACTTCTGCTTTCGTCATCAGATTTTTCTGAAATTCGGTACAGTTATATAAGCAATTATTTCGGATTTGATCACATTACAATCCAATATGGTGGACTTCCGGTATTTTTGGAAATGCCAGCAACTTCGTTTTTTCAAATGAAACACCCTGTATATTTTCACATATTCAAGTTCAACAGGTCGAAACAAGTGCAATCTTTATTTCAAATGTCATTTTTTCGAAAAAAATTAAATTAAAATTGTTTTTTCATTTTTCCTCGTGGATAAATGAGATGTGGTCAAGACTATTCACAATGAGTCACACATAACAGAAGAACATAATTTTTTCTGAAAAATTATTTTTTGTGTCACTTATCCAGGAATCAATTCAGCCACATCACTTTTTGACCAAAAATTATTTTTTTTCAAATGGAACCCCTATGAGCCACCTACTCGTTCCTCTAGAACATACATTAAGGAACAAAATGAAATATCATTTTTGTTTTTCGGTGCAGTAACAAATTGTATACATTCAAAAATCAACAACTAGTTATGCATTTCCTTGCAGTTAGAATCATTTCTCAACTAGGTAGGCTGTGGAATAAATGACATTTGACATCAAGATTGCACTTGTTTTAACCTGTTGAACTTGAATATGTAAAAACATACAGGGTGTTCCATTTGAAAAAACAAAATTGCTGGCATTTCCAGAAAAACCGGAAGTCCGCCATATTGGATTGTGATGTGATCAAATCAGCAATAGTTGCTTATATAACTGTACCGAATTTCAGAAAAATCTGTTGACGAATGCAGAAGTTACAGGGGTGGCCCGATAGCCGGTATATGATCAAGTCCTTAGGAATAAAGATGAATGTTATTGTTGTAGGTGGTTATAAATGAGTAAAAATTATCTCATTATTCAAAATTTTCTGGGATTTTCTCTCCTCGTTTCTATAAAATAAAAATATGAATATTTTTATTTTGGGTCAAATCATTTGATTTGTCCTTATTACACGTATATTGAAATAATATTCATATTTTTATTCAATAGAAACGAGGAGAGAAAATCCCAAAAAATTTGGAATAATGAATGTACCACCTCCTTGATTTCAACCTGCAGACAGTATTTAAAAATTATCTCATTTTGATCGAAAAACCTTGAAATTCCAACAAAATATAAGCCTGTACCTGTATTATCTAAGATAATTGAGGAATGTGGCGATGAGAGATTACTCAAATATTTGTGTAAAATTTAATTTCTATGCAGGTGTCAATATGGGTTTCGAAGGTCGAGTGACACCGAGATAGCACTAACAGTTGATCTGATCACAGATCGACAAATGAAAATTTATGACCTGCATTTGACACTGTCAACCATGCTTTAGTCCTCAAAAAGCTGGAAAAGAAGATATTTGGCGAACAGTTGGTTAAGAAACTGAACAGTTAGTTAGTGTCAAAGGATTGGGAAGAGATCTCAAACAATTCACCTGTGGAGTTCCGCAAGGATCCATTTTGAGGACAACAGTATCTTCAATTTATGTAGATGCCATATCAAGGAAATATAAAACTGTACGCTGAAGATATGTACTACAATAGTCTATTCGGGTGAGATGGTTATCACGATACAGGAACACATTCAAAACCATCTAATTAAACTTTTTTACTAGTTGGTCTCTCATAAGTAGCTGACACCAAATGTTGAGAAATTATAATGAAGACAACATTGAATATGAATAACTGTATTGCAGTGTCATTTGAGAACAAATATCTCATATATGGAAAAAAGAAGCGAAATATTCAGGTCTCATTATACAAGGTGTCCCGAAATTACATAAACAGATTTCAACTACGGATTCCAGGAACAGAAATGGCCCCCTGGGGAGTTGAAGCCATCTGAAAGAGGGCACGAGATTATGGTTTTTCATAAATCTTTCCGAAACCCTCTGTGTTGAGATAGTGAAATTTTCTAGCTGTAAATAACTTGTCATAACCGATTTGGAAATGTTAAGAATTTCCCGAAATTTTGATCAGGGGTGTGGAAAATATGTGGGGCTAGGGGAATTCCTTTCTACAACTTTTTCTCATGCAATTTTTGGGAGTTTGACCAGGAAATATGGAAATATCATTATTTTAACCTGGAAATGATATTCATGTTCAGTTTCGATAGCACACACCATTTTGGAGATAAATCGATTTCAAAAGTCAGTTTCACAGAACTAAAATGATTGGAATATATATTGCGAGTGGTGACAAAAATTCAGTAACACCTCAGTAAGGAATATTATCACCACAGGACCTTCTACTCCTCGGGTGATATTGATATTCTTTACTACTTTGGTGTGAAAATGAATATTATTGAACAGGACCCGATAATTTTTTTGACTCAACAAATGAGTAGGAGTGTACAGAGCTGTTTGGAATCTCAGAAAAATCTAACATTGATATTGATATTTGATGGTATCGTTAATGACATCCCTTTTGAACAGAAAGTATTTCTGATTGGTAATAATTTTCGAAGATCAATATTTGAGATATATCACGCATAAAATGAAGCATTAAAAACAAATCGGCAGTCCCCAGGTGTGTATAGTGAATATGATCACGAAAAGATAGAACAAAAAATTATTTTTGGATTCATGATGAATTGATATTCATTATACAGGATGTGGAAAGAAATTCTGAATTGAAAAAACCTAATCACGAATCTGCGATCAGAGCAGGTCTATAAAAATAACATGTTTCTATCGTTCGTATCGTAAGTTTGAACGCCTTGAATGGGTGAAAGTATTGAAAAGGAATATACTCAGATAAAATTATGAATAAAAAAAAAGGATGTATATATGTATATTTGAAGTGATACATTGAGAATTCGCATTTTCTATTTAATGAAAATATCAATTCTTTTTCGGTTTATTCTACAGAAAACAACTACTTTCCTAGCCATATGCCATGACGAACAATTATATCGATTGAACACACACGATACGAATTTGAAAACAAAATCTTCTGAAGTTGAGAATTTGCATTCTCCTTCAGATAAAAATATGTATATGCACATGATATCATTCTGAATATTCAACAGAAAACAACTACATTCTTCGCTATTTGCCACGCCGTACATTGAATTCTACAGAGTGTGCCATTGAAAACGAAACAGCGGCTCTGTAGGTCGGCAAAACCGGATTATGAAAAAAATCTGAAACAAGTCAACTACATTTTTGAGGGGGACATCGTTCTTAAATACTTTCAGCCCTGCGGCGTTGCCGCCTTTAACGAAAAGAAGCAACAACTTTGTTATTTCAAACGGAACACCTTGTACTTCATTGCATTGTTAGATCCTCCCCAAAGAGCTGATTTCATCAATGCATCACACTTGGGGTCTAGCTGGAATGATTTCTTCAGGGATATAGGGTGTCCCTATCTCAACTTTTGATTTACTATCTACTGACATTTAATTGTAACAGATACAGGGTTATCAGAAGTCTGAATCTTGACCCATAACCAAAACGTTCAATAGCAGAAGTTAGCATATGAATAAGAAATATTCACCCATTCGATTGAATATTCATCCCTTTTGATTCATTGCTCATCTTATTACGTACTTTGGATTTCTCAGCAGCTCATTCAGTGTCGAACTGAATTTATCTTCTGTAAGGTCCAAAAAATTCAGAGACAGTCCGTACCCAGCGGCTACTGCCTTTGCTGCATTGAGCCGCTGATCTCCAAAAACTGGTAATGCCAATATCGGTACTCCATAGTGGAGTGTTTCTGTTGTACTGAGTAGTCCTCCATGTGTGATAAATAATTTCAAGTTTGGATGTGCTGAAATATCGAAGTCTGAGAATCATGTTTGAATGATCAGAAATGGTCGAAATCTTGTGTCAATCATGTATTGATAGTGCATTGCATAAGGTTTGTTTCATCTCTAATAGAAAACCTTGGTGCAAGAACCGGGCAATTCCAATTTTTCAATATGTTGGGGAGTGGAAAAAAACGTAATATTTTTGAGAAACTTGAAAAAAATTATGCTAAATGGTATGAATCCTCTAGAGTTACGTCAGATAAGCTGTATTAACTCAGATTGTAATTTTCATTTACATTGTAGAAGCTAAAAAAGAAGTTTGAAACAATGGTGTTGCCTATTTCTTGCCCCAAAAAGACAAAATTCTGAAAATATAGTCGAACTCGTGTAATAATTTCGCTTTTTTATTTAAAATGAAATATATAACAAGAAATATTGTGAACAAATAGTATTTCAACATAGAAAGAATCGTTGACGTTTCCTGCGTCTTGGTCTTCGTTAATATTGCCAGAATTTGGGTCCTCTTCTTCAACAGTCATGTTTTTGGAACATATTCACTCCCCGAATCTTGATAGGGCTCACTTTCACTTTCCGACGACATTACATGAAACAAATGATCAAACTAATCACGCCACACACGATGGAAGACGCGTAAAGGCTTGCTGCTAATAACCTCACTCCGACATCTCCTACTACACGCGTTCATTTCGGTGCTAAAATCGGGTAACTCCTGGAGTTGCCCGACTCTTGCACCTCAATGGCTCATCAGGTAAATCCTTTCCCGTGTTAACTTAATAGGAAATTGTTGGATTCGCTTGATTCTTGCACCAAAAGATGCGCAAGAAAAAATTCTATATGTTAAATACAATATCCCAATTTCGGCATAAAATGGAGTTGCCCAGTTCCTGCACCGAGGTCTTCATTTATGAAACCAATTCCGTGATAGTTCTCAATTCTAATTATAGTTTCTCCAATTGACTCAGCAGTTACTTGATGGAAATCCATAGTAAATTTAAAAAACCTCAATACGATTTTCACAAAATTCTTACTGACGAATGTTTCGCTAACACAGTAGTAAAAAAAGCGATTTGTGTTCAGTCGGTTCGAATGATTCAAAAACTACTCACCCAAAATGTCCATTTGAGGGAGCCATTTCCTTATAATAATGTTCGAGCTTTTCTCAGCTAAATCTTCGTCATATTTCCAGAGTACCGTTTCCTTCAATTTTCCCAAGGCATTAACTAATGCCTGTTTATAACGGGGTTCCATTTCTGAAGGCTTTATATTCGAGCCCATGCTGAAGTATATAACTCCTTCCTTGGCATTGTCCATGATGTTTAGAAGATCGTCTGGCAATTTTCTAGGACGAGGTACGTGGAAGCCGCCTATATCGATCATATTTGGTACCAGAGGCACTGGCTGACTGAAGCTCTGGTGAGAATTCAGCAAGAATAATGATACATTGCGTGATAAAGTCTCAACGTCAGGACACTCGGGAAAATATTGCTTCACCATCTCATTTTGTTTCGGATATATTATGAAATATTTGTTCAATATATGAAACAGTAGTAGTAACGAGTTTTTCGTCCGTTGCCAGAACGTCATGTATGGTCCATATTCCTCGAAAAGATCCGGTATGTAGGAAGGTGGACCCGGATTACCAGATATGGAATTGACCCAAAAATTAGCTGCAATTGGACTGAACATTATCAGAGGAGCATTGTAGTGGCATGCTATTGCTTTCAAGCCATCGTTGACGAATTGTTCTAGGATGATGACGTCAAAAGTGTTGTTGGATCTGAGTAGTTCTTTGAATGACGGATCTTCAAGTGTAGCTTTGGTCCTCAGGTTGCCGAGGGAGCTCACGAAATATATTTCTGAGAATGTATTGAGCTTTGTCATTTCGAAAAAGTTCGGATTCTCCTCATCTGAAATAGAAATGTGAGGAATTCAGAGATGACAATATACTTCAGGAATATGAGATTTCTGATCATTTCCGCTTCTATACAGGGTGTTTCCACAATTAGAGCGATCGATGAGATTTAGTATTTGAGGACTGAAAGATGATTATTCGAAAGCATATATTATCATATACCTGGATCAAATTCTCAAGGGGGCTTGAGATTTTTGGAGAAATATATGTATCAATTGTTCAGAGATTGAGAGTCGAACCCCAGAAGTTTTATGATTGCTCCTTTCATATAACACCTGATTTCATTCGTCACATCAGTTTCTGGAAATACATTGTTATTGAAACAACATGTACTCCACTCATCGAATGATGAACTTGAATGAAATATAGTAACTTTATTTTTTATAAAATCAATTGATATAATCAATCAATCGATGTTCTGAAATATCGCGAGTATCGAAGTCTAAGTTTGAATTATATTCTGACAACCAGTGTGTTTTCCTCAGCGAAAAACTTAGTATTACTAATCATGGAAGCATTAAACAAAGATAAATCATCGTACATGGTGATTTTCTGCCGAAATTTTTATTGAGTTGCGTGTCAGGGTTGACATATATATACAGTGTGTCCACCTTAAGGACTTACCACCCCTGTAAAATTGTTATTATCTGACCGATTTCAAAAAACTTTTTTTTGTTGAATAGGTATTTGAAATGTCCATCCAACAAGAGAGTGATTTTACTCATGAACTGTAATCGTGGCCAACTGCGACCAACTTTATTGACCCATATTTGAGAAAGTACTATTAGGGATTTTTTTCAGAAAAAACAATGCTGGATTCTGAATCACGATCACTTGAAAAACACCTCCACTGATTTTTGTCATCATAAAACACAGGGTGTGCGAAAAAACGAATTGTTTTTATTTTAATAGGTGCGATCAGAAAATGTAGTATTGTGGTATTTTTGAGAAGAATTGATGACACATTATTATTGAGGATCACTTTGAACATCTGTACCGATTTTCATCATTCAAAAATACGATGTACATATATGAGAAAACAATTACATAGAAAAAGTAGGCAATAATTTTTCATCACCTCAAAAAGAATATTAATTTGATTTTTCGAACTCCCTGTGTTTAATGATGATGAAAATCGGTAGAGGTATGTTCCAAGTGATCCTGATTCATCTTTTTATTTTGAGTGAAGAACTATCAGGATGAAAAATATTGCTTACCTATCCTTTTTAATTTTTTTCTCAGACACATTGTATATTCAAATGACGAAAATTGGTACAGGTATATTTCAAATAATCGTCAATGATAATTTGTGATTATTTCTTTCTAGAAAAACCACAGAACTACATTTGCTGATCACCTATTTGAAGAAAATGATGATTCGTTTTATCGGACACCCTGTGTTTCATGATGATGAAAATCGGTACAGGTATATTCCAAGTGGTACTGATTCAGAATCCATCATCAAGTTTCGTAGAAAAAAATCCCTAATAGTACTTTCTGGAATATGGGTCATTCAAATTTGTCGCAGTTGGCCACGATAACAGCCCAAGAATTAGATCACTCTCTCGTTGGATGGGCATTTCAAATACCTATCCAACAAAAAAAGGTTTTTTGAAATTGGTCGGATAATATCGATTTTACAGGTGTGGTAAGTCCTTAAGGTGGACACACTGTATATACACCGTGTTCCAGCTAAAATGTCCCTGCCTGTAAAAAATCAACCGCGCAATCGAATGACTTCAAACTTGGTCACCCAGTATATTTGATGATGCTCACTCGAAATACGCTATTGAATAAATCATAGGTATACAGGGTGACACCGAAGTGCACCTCAACTTTCTTATTTGAATAGGGACACCTAGTATATTATTCCATATTCAAGTAGAGTTCATTATTACAAATTCAACAATGCCGGGTTTGAGGGGATTTTTCTCAAACGACTACGACGATATGGCAAAAAATAAAACGAGGCAATAAAAAATTTATATGAATAGATTTTATTATTATAACACGATGGGTCTCCTGCACCTAACTACAGACCCGTAAAGGATTATCTTCGCTATCGGTTTGGAGAAAATCTAATAACCACCACTTGTCTCGATAGTGATAGCAACTGGCCAGCTCGGTCGCAGGACCTCACCCCACTAGATTTTTATTTGTAGGGCTACTTGAAACAACGAGTTCATGAGTTGCCAATTGTGGATATGGAAGAAATGACAGAAAAAATTCACAAATTTATGCGCACAAAGTGATCGCAACGTGATACATAGGATAGGGTCACAATGAACGTTATCAAATGAGCTAGGAAATGTTTGCAGTAGAAGGGACGACATATTGAGCAAATCAGGTTTCATTTATTTTCTTTTCATTCGATTTCGATCATGTTATATTTATAAAATGTAATCGTATAAATTTTTTATTGAATTGTTTTATTTTTTGGCATATCTCCGTCGTCGTTTGAGAAAATCCCATCAAACCTGTTGAATTGTAATAATGAACTCTACTTGAATATGGAATAATATACTGGGTGTCCCTATTCAAATAGGAAAGTTTGGGTGCACTTCGGTATGACCCTGTATACCTACGATTCAATTAATAGCATTGTTCGAGTGAGCATCATCAAATATACTGGGTGACCAGAATTTAAGTCATTCGATAGCGTGGTTGATATTTTACAGGGGGAGACATTTTAGCTGGAACACGGTGTATATATTTTTCTGTGACGGAATAAACGATTTACATTTTATCTATGTTGACAGGTAACAAAATGTCACCTTTCATAAAATTACATTCCCTCTGCAGAAATAGTGAATACTCTTTCCCCAACATAGCTCAGACGCATTCGAATTCATGATTAGTGGCTCATTTACAGAGCGTGCCCAAATATCACCCAAGATATTATGATCGAATGTGATTAACTCAAGATCAATATCAATAGGTGATAATGATAGGAAATAAGTGTTTTTTTCAGTAGAGTATATGGATGTTTCAATAAATCAGTAGATTAATATGCAAATCAGCATATCTCCTGAAAATTCGGTAGAACTGGCAACTCTGTCGCGTGCTAACACGGCAATTTGTTGGTTCCCCGATCTTCATTTCAGTTTCTCATCACTAATTTACTAGAAAAATGTGCATTTTTGAATTTTACCTCTTCCATCCACCATGTGCTTCAGATGAACATTCCTGTATTTCCCATTTTTCGGCAGTACTTTGTCATCGAATTTACCCACCATCGTCACGTCATGACCAGCTTCTGCCAGACCTTTAGCAAGAGTACTGCACAGTCTGAAGTGACTAAAAGAAGTTGACGGGGATACCACTAATATTTTGTAACCGTACACAGCACATATGAGTTCGATCACCACAATTAGTATTAACCAAACGGTTTTCATTTTGGATATAATCTGATCTAGTTTAGTCACGTAATCAGTCGTTCATCACAAATATAGTTCACGTCTAACGAACGAAACCATCTCACTGTTTGTGTTCACTACTGTATGTTTTGTCGCATTTATCACATATTATTATCATTCCATCAATTCCACGGAAATTCTATGTTGAACATAATGTCAGATTAGAATACAAATTTATTTGTAGACAGATGATAATAATGATGGAACTAATAATGATTATGATTATCATGAGAACAGTTAATGTTTCTATAATTGGTTGAAATATACTCCCCATCAAGCACAAACGTCCCTGGGATGTTTTGGGATGTTTTGAAAATGTTGGCATGAAGAAGGTTTTTCGAAACGTAATATGATTTCTCAAAAGAGCTCGTTGAAGAATGTTGGAAATATTGTTTTATATTGTTTTTCTGTGCCATTTGCCATGATGCTTAACATCACAATACAATGAATTATGATTTGTTTCCGATTTTGTTGTTGTTGTTGTTGTTGTTCGCATTCGCCTTTGCAGCGTCTTTCATTCATTCCATTATTACAATACCAACTTTAAAATACAGATTTGAAAGGGTTGAGATATTGTGCCTAATTTCCGAGAATGGAGGTTGATCAAACCTTTCCACAGGTAACTAATCCTTCAGGTTGGGAGAGTTTAAGATATATAAGCAAGTAAAAGTTAGTTTAGTTCATCGTACCAGTATATCACCTGACGAGACTACTGTGAACCCTATAGTCCCTATCTGTGTCTAAGCCACTATTGTTTTTTGTGAGTCCAAGGATTACTCACAGCAGGTGTTTTGACACCATGAATATTCCGTATACAGTTTGTATTCACACTTTACTACTACATTCAACATTCAGCAGAAAAATTCAGATTTTGAATTCACGAAGCTTTATTGTGATCATTGTACTTTATTTCATGCATGGGTTAATAAATATTACTTGAGAAGTGATGAAGTGATGTCATTAATAAAGTGTTCTCTTTTCGATATCAAATAATTTTGGTTTCCAAAACACATTTTTTATGGACTATTATACCACAGAAAATACTGAAAAACCATCACATCTTTCGATTGATGGATAAATATTGTTTTTTCATTTCATCCCATCATCTTCTATGAAATCTAGATTCATGATTCAATGCTCGAACTTAGTCTACGAGAAGAAATCAATTCGACTACCAAGTGAAATTACGGAACGTTGCGTTTTCCTTATCTATGATACATTTTTCACCAAGTCATGTATACGCGAATGAACATTTTTCATACTCTACTTTTTCCTACATCACAATATCAGGTACTGATTAAGTGATCAGACTAGTGAGAAAACTTCAACAAACATGCGAAGTATGCATTAACGAGTCTGGAGTAATTTTTTGAACTTCAACCTGAAGTTATCGTTAGAAAATAATCTATGACCTTGAAATTATCATAGGATAGATGAAATGAATCATAGCTGGATAATTATTATGAAGAGTTCAACTAGATTATTAGCTAAATATTGTCTGTAGGTTAAAAGAGGAGGTGGTATATTCATTTCACTTGATTATTTGGGATCTTCTCTTATCGTTTCTAAAAAATAAAAATATTATTATTTCAATATATGTGTAGGAGAACGAATCAGATGATTTGCCCCGAAATGTCACTGCGTTTAAAAATGTTTCTATCAGAGAGCCTGAAAGAAAAATCCAATGGCTCGTTAGTAACACTTTGTTTGGAAAAATGTTTGAAGAGAAAAAATATAGTTATATTTGAAATTTATCGGATTTTTATACTTATCTCTGGACGTTTCGGGAACGAATCTGCTCCCGTTCATACATACATGATGCAAAATATATTTCTTCGAAAATGTTTTTCTTATAGTTTGACACCCCTCAGTGACATAATGATATTGGCAGCCAAGAGAGACTTGTTGGATTAGCATTGATGCCCATTTATAGAGATATTATACAAATATCTCCAGACTGTGTATTAACACGGAATCACTCAGGTGGATAATCTGTACATTATCACCCAAGTGACGTCTGCTGTACCCCATAATCAAAAACTCGAGGAAAAAAACTGTTTGGAATTTCTCCAAATTTGTACGTGAAATGAGTTTTAAGATGTATTTACTTCATAATTATGAATAGAATTTTTTCATAATTAGCTTAATTCATGGGATATCATCAAAGCCATATAAATGGTGAAATATTCATGGGAAAAACATTATATCTTTGGAGACTGTTGAAAAAATATACAACACTCAATTCAGTGAAATTTCGTGCAAAACAAATTATGCAAATGTTCAACGCTAATGACACAATTATGTCCCATGGATATCCTCAGGACGTTCTGTCGGGACATTCAGGACGTCCATAGGACGTTCGAATTTGGTACCGTGGGCGTCCATTGGACGTCTGTGGGACGCACAAATGTCCCACTTGAGGACCAACTAGGGACGTCCTTGAGGGATGTCCCTGGGACAACTATCGAATACCTAAATTCTTACCCTTTTTCTACTTGAATCAACCCTAATGAAATTCTGGAAATGACAAACGGATTCGAAGTGAATGAATCAAGTATTCAACAGAGCACATTTGAAGGACCTATTTCTTCAAGAAGCATTTTTCGACTTATGTTTCAGAAAACATTTTTCCTTCCGGATTGGATTCATTGGTTGACGAATAACATTTTCGTTATTTCCTCCTCTATAAAATTATTAAACAGAAGCCAATTTTATACTCAGTGAGTAGGCGTATATAGGGAACTCGTATACTCACATGTTTATAATATATAATACTGAAGGTGAATACAGAAGTGGTTTCCTTCTATTTCTGAAAATGCATCAAATTATGCTTTAGAACCGCAGTTATTGCATTTCAAGCTCAGCGCAAATCTACCGAATAGATTCCAGTACACAGTGAGAAATCCCTGTGCCCTGTGGGATATAACGCCCTTTGCCTTCACATGTAGTTTTCTATTTCGATAATCAATGACCTCATATCCCAAAGTAGGTGATCCATTACTTTATAGTGGTGATGACATAATTCAGGATAGGTGGGGGAACTCACAACCCCACACATAAAAACAATCTAATGAATATATAAAATTCTCCTGTCCCTGTCACGATGTTAGCGGCCATCTTGGCGAGCGAGTTTTGTAATCCGCTTTTATTCAAAATTGGTTTCTGGGGATTTTCGGGGTCGGAGATTATGATTTATTCGTCAAAATTAGGAAATTCAAAATGGCGGATCCAATATGGCGGTCGAGTCTTTTAATAACGGACCGATTCTATCCACGCACCATTTGTATCTAGGAGTTTTCGGAGTCGGAGATTGGAAATTCAAGATGGAGGATCCAATACATCGAGCGACTTTTGTATTCATTGTCAGAATTCAGATTCTATCAAAATTGATAACTGGTGGTTTTCGAGGTCGGAGATCATGGTTCCTTCGTCGAAATTAGGAAATTTTGAATGGCGGATCTAATATAACGTACGAGTTTTTCAATTATTGGTATCTGGGGGTTTTCGCAGTAGGAGATAATGATTCTCTCAACAAGATTTGGGCATATAAGATGGCAGATCCAACCACCACGTCACTCCAGACAAGTAAGAAACTATTTGGATAGTACTTTCCCTGGTCGTTGGGTTGGCCTTCGAGGTCATTCGAAATGGCCAGCCTACTCGCCAAATTCCACACATTTAGACTTTTTTTTATGAGGCATTTGGAGCATGTGGTGTACGAAACTAGACCAGCTTCAATATCGAATATTCGAAGAGAAATGATGAATATTTGTAGAAACATGGACGTAACTGTGTTGAAAAGTGTTCGGAGTGAAATATCGGATGAGCTGTTCTTGAACCAAGAAGTTCAAGGCAATCATTTCGAGCATATTCTGAACTGAACTCAGCTCATTTCCTCCGACATCTTGTAGTATGTGGGGATATTGACTCTATGGGTCGGAAAGTATTAAGGTATTAAGTATTAACTCTGTTTTCGAGATGGCGCCCAGTGACCATCTTGAAATTTTCATCTATCAATATTACTCCAAAATTAAGTATTCATGCATCAATTTCATTAAGACAAGTTTCAATTTTTTCAGTAGACCCGTTCAAGAAATAGAAGGGAGGGCATTAAGGAAAAGAAATGAAGTATTTTGTTATTCTTTGGCTATAACACATAATTGCTCTTGTTTAACTGTGTTCGATAAATCAAGGAGGTACATACTTTATATGACTGTCATCAATTTGATTTCTGTTTCTGATATCACAATGACTTCATCGTGTTATTATTTCACAAAATCTCATATCCCATGAGATGTAAAATAATTATATCAAAAGTACATTCTGAATGAAGGTTTCTCATAACAAAAGCAAAGAAAACGAATTCCTAAAGAAAATTAAATATGGGCCATATTTTCGCCGATAGGGTTGATATATGGCCCGGTAAAAAATAAGAGAGCGAAACATTTGAGGTTATGTATCAAAACCGTGTAACAGATCGCGTCTGAATTGCGGCAACCAAGCATACACGGCTGAATAATCGTGAGTTGAGCCAGGGTCATTCATTTAAATCGCGCGCCTATTTCCATTCGAAAGGAAGTCAGGGTTATTGGAACGGGGGAAGGGGAAGAGAAGGAAATTAGAAGATGGTGCCTCAATGTTGAAACTGTAAAGGTTATTGATTTTAAATCATTGTGCATCCAGTTTTGCAGAGGGTGTTTTTTGGTTTTATTGTAGCGTCTACGCTCCTGGCAGCGCTGGACCTCTCGCCTATGCCCTTTTGTAGACTTGGATGAATTTAGACTAAGAACTGGTGTCCTTTCGCCACTGGGATTTTTCCTGCCGCATTTCACCTCTGTTCCTCCAGTTTGAATAAAGATCTGCCACCCGACGAGCAATTTTTTACTCAGCCGAACCCCGCAAACACAGACCCCTGAGATTTATTGCAACTTGGCGACCACCACGGGGCTGAGAAAAATTGAAAATGCTCCCAGAAAGAACACCTCCAGGCGCTACTCAATACTTTCTGAGGTTCAGAAACCGTCCAGAACAACCGACAG